GTTATGGCCACATAGATGAAGCCAGGCCAAATACCGACACAAGAACATTGGCTGGACAGTCCGTAGGGCTTGCCTCGCCCGAAGTAAAACCAGTTTCTGATATAGACCAGGGACGATTGATTGGATTAGATCGCCAAGGACATGCACCAGTCATCAGAGGCCGGCAAAGAGCGAGTCGAACTGAACACTCTGCAGATGCAACAAAAACAAACAGCACTGTCAGTGTCACTAATGCCCTGATAATAAAAGCAACCCAAACTCCGGTGAAGGGGACGACGACCCCCGTGATCAAGAGCACTGGTTTCTCCAGCCACGAATCCAGGCAAACAATCGACAAGTTGTCCCCTAGACCCGAGCTCGAGTCTGCGTCCCGGCGAGGTAGACTAGGTCTTCTTAGTGGAAAACGCAGGTCACGAAGCCTGGTCAATGCGTTGCACGGACAGTCAGAGACGGCATTAGCCAGCTCTCTTGACGACCAGTTGAGCCGGCCAACAAGGACGCGTAAAAGATGTGAACCAGTGACTAGCAAGGGTGACTTTCCTATCGAGGATGTGGAAGAAGATGGAGTTGGAGTAAATAATGCATGCAGAATGCAATAGATTATGTGACCTCTTATTGTTTATATACTTTCTAGCACATTTCTCCATTAGTCTATTCGCTTGTCTGCCACTGTAAATTAACCCGTTCATCCTCAAGCCTTTACCTATTCATAACTTTTGGACCTTGTATGCGCGTCTATTTGTCTTCTTTGTTCGTACTTATATCTATAATTTTTACTTTGTCTTTTTGCAATAAAAGTTGTGTCAAATGAATTTGAGGGCTGAAGACCTTAGAGTTGCTGTGATTGTAATTCACTTGTCAATCTAGTTAAAGGAGTTTTTGGAACGCCTGTTAATAGCTTCATCCAAGAGTTTGTACATTAACTTAATGATAATTGATACGAACTTTTTAAGTAATTATTCGAAAAACGATTTTGTAAGACTTCTGTCTCTTTATCTGCTCACAAGCAAGATTTACTTATCCTCGTTTTTCTAAAATAATTTATTTGCATTCTTTTTTTGCGTTTTTATTGTCCTCATCTGATCCATTTCCATAATTTCCTTCTCTTATATCCTATTTCTTCTTCTTACTGTACCTATTCGTCAATCCAACTCACAATAAATTGTAAACAAACCCTATGGCAATACGTTCAAAAGCTTATATTTACATAACCTATTGGACTACCACCGCTAAGAGCGTGTGTTCCTATGTATTTCTCTTTTTCTCCTAAATATTTACTTTTTGATATGCTTTCTAACTCCGGTAATGTTGCTCTCTTTAGTAACTTCTTCAAATTAGTTGTTGGACTTTCAGCCGAAATTCTTCACCGCGCCGTATTATGCTGGTGACCTCAGAGTTTGACTGTCCATTCGCTCTTTACTTAATTTGGGATCATGACCTTGGCTGGAACTCTCTCACGACTAATCATCTACCCAATTTAACTCTGCATGCTCCTTTGTCTCATGTCAAGTTTTCTGTTAAACCTCAGGTCGACTTGTTAGTATACATGATTTATCGTTTTTGTTTTTGATCTCAAGGCCCTGAGTTTGCCTACGAGATTTTCTCTCATTTTCAAAAATTTGCATTTTCCTACATATTGGACATAATCTCTCTCAAAGTTTCCAAAGCTAACCTTTGCAGATGATATGCGTTTTTATTCGGATACATTAGGCTGTGTGTGACTCTGACTGTAATAAAGAGAAACCAATTCAAATCTATACGCTCTTCGGTCTGCCTTCTTTTTTTCATTTTCCCGGTATTTCAGATGCCTGCGTGAAACCATGTGCAATCTTTATTGTTATGTCGACCTAAATAATCATTAAAATTTCGTCTACGCCATCCACCCTCTAAGCCTACTCATCCATTCTCATACTTTCAGTCAACTCACTCCTTTATTTATCTCTCACTTTATCCATCAATACCAATTCAAGTTCCAGCATGTCCATTCACGTATGCTCTTATCAACATAGATGTACTTGCCAAGGTAGCTAGATTGCAAAGCTATCTTTATTATACAACTCAAGTTGAATCCAAATTTTATCCTCATTATTGAGATGCATTGAACTCCATTCAGTCATTAACCTTCACTAAAAACTCTAGGAATTCTCTTTTTTTCTGTTAATATGTCTCTTAAATTACATACCTACTCCTTAAGTAGGAGGTTACCTGTGGTGAATTTACTCACTAATAGCTTTCACCCTCCCATTTTTATAAAAATTTATGCATTTCTACAATCGTATATATATTTATCTCCTTTTGGTTGCACACCAGAATAGATACATCAGTTGTTTTCTTTTAAGAATTTTGTATATTATTCTATGGAGTTATTTTTTAGTAACAACAATCAGGAATTGACTCAGGATTGAATTACTAAAACTGCATAATTATGAATACGCTGTTATATCACTTTCAGCGACGATATGTAGTCAATTCTGCCACCAATAGCTTTGGCATTCGTTAGACACATGGAAAGGTGACCAAAGCAGCTGATCCGTCTAAAGGGCAATGCCCCTTTTCTTCTTGTTTTCCAGAACAGTAACACCTGTAATAACCTGCTTCCGTTCCTATAAGTTTACTATGATCATGCACTTCCCGCCAATTGTTTGCATGATCATGTTGATTAAA